GCCGTTTTCTTGGCAACATGTTACAGATGTCTAAATGTCGGCTGGAGATGTGGAACGTGGGCTGGGACACGCACAGTGTTTGAAGTTAACTTCCTGGCTGGCTGTGTTCATCTGACACATTGAACCCAACCCCTGCGTTCACCCAACTTATTTATTTATTGTATTAATTTATTTTTCATTGATATATGCCGTCCTTCTCACTATATCATTTTCTGGGACTGTGAAAACACAGAAGCCGAAAGTCACCCCAAGGTCTGGCTTCACCCAATGGGCTACATCTGATTAAAAATCACACCGAGGTTTAACCCAGTTTGGGTTACCACGTTGGGGAGATATTGCTGCCAATTGTCTAACTGTTCTGGTTTAATCGTATTTCAAAAACGCAACCAATAGAAGAGGCTGTTTTTTATGCTGAGATGATGGTTCATCTTAATAGTAGGTGTGTTCCTCTCCCGTAAAAATGCAATTTGCCAGGTATTGCCCCCAAACAGATCTGAACAGTAAAAAAAGGGCAAGCTTAAAATAAAAGTGGGAGGAGAACAGATAAAATGAAAAATCATTCTCTTCAGAAAGAAGATGTTGCTTCTGCTCTTCAGGGCAAAAGCCGGTGGGTTGGAAAAGGAAGGTTTGGCAAAGGAGGAAAAAAAGTCTGAGAAGAGGCAAGAAAACCTTCTCCAAAAAAAAAAAAAAGGACAATTAAGTCCTTTTGAGAAAAAGATGAGATGACTGTTACTCTACCCGGCTTTCTCCCTCTTGCAAGCTCCTTAATGATCTCTAACCTCCTCACCTCCCTCGATCTCATTGGTTGGATGCTGTGATGTCACAGAATGACCCAACGGGCTGAACAGGAAGATGAATGGGACAGTAAGGTCAATGACTTACTTTCTTAATTCTTACATAATTCTATTCAAATAAGCTACCCGGGCCTTGCCTGTTGACATCACCTCTGCTCTCAGCAAACTACCCAGATCAAAAACTGGTTCAGCTGGAAACGTAGGGCAGGCTGGATGTAATCTAACCCCAAACCAGAAGCAAGAGAAAAGTAAGGTATGTTTTAGCACAGATCTGTATTCACGTGAGGTTATTGAGTTAACCCTTTGTCTGAATTCACCCGGTACATTCAATCATAATCGAACAGGCTGTGTTATACGCACACACACAAGCCAACCAAGATCAACACTAACCTAAAGTTTGGATGTAACGTGAACGCGTTGATGAGATCTTTAGTTGACCTGGGTATTGTGGGAATGCAGCCCTGCTTCCTGAGCATGATGCTATCCAGCCAAGCTCCCATCTGGGGGAGATTTCTCTTGAGCATCCTTTGCTAGATTTGGGGTGTGGATGGGGAGTCCACCCTTTGGCAGATGGAGAGAAGCAGGAATGCCAGCCAAGGATTGGGGAGAGGGGAGGGAGGGAGGCAGTGACCCTTTAAGACATCCCCAAGGAGGGCACAAAAGCAGCTTAGCTGAGCCTGCCGTGTGAAACTTTCTCCTCTCGGCCCCATCTCCTCCTCTCCCCTCTCGCAGGCTTTGTGCTGCTGTGTGTGAAAGGGTTGCTACACCACACACGTCCAAAGAGGCTTAGTGGCTGAAAGCCGGATTAGCTCCTGAGGCATTCCCCTCTGTGTCTTTCAGCTGGGACATCTTCCCGGCCAGCAGGAACAGGCACAGCAATTAGGAGCAATTAAAAGGTGTCCCCCCCACCACCGCCACCCTTCCTGTCCCATGGCAGGATGCTTTGCTGTCTGTAGCCAGACACTCACCCTGGGCACGCTCTACAGAGCCAGAACAAGGCCCTTCAAAGGGCCCACTTAAAGTTGGGAGCGTCTCTGCTGGCAAGGTAAGGTGAGTCAAACGGTGCCAGGCCAAGAGTAGAAGGCCAGGCTAGGATTCATCCACACATACTGCTTGCCCCAGCATGTGGATCGTCACTAACCGTTTCTTGAGGGCAGGAATGCCCGCCGTTGTCCTCAACTGCCCCAGCCCCTGCTCAAATTCCTCTCCCCCTGTCTGTTCTTGCTTCATGGCAAAAGAAGAGTTTTCCAACTTCTGCAGAATAAACAGGTCTATCAAGGAAGAAGCCACCCCTTATCTCTGTGGACTTGATGATGTGCAAAACCCAAATTCATCCACAACCTAGGTGTCAGAAGTATCTTCCATAGCCCGTGGATCCCTAATATAGGTATCAGGTCTGGATGGTGTCTGTGCTTTGATGTTTTGGTGCATTCTTGAGGGCTCTTTTGATAGCTCTGAGATTTGATCAGGATATCAGTATAATCTGCTCCCTTCCTGGGTGAGGAAGGAGGGAGGGAGGGAAGGAGGGAGGGAGGGAGAGAGGGAGGGAGGGAGGGAGGAAGGGTTAAAAAGAGATTGGTCTGCCCACTTTGGCATTACTGTGCCCAGTATTGACTGTATCCATCACCAGCATGTTCAAGTTCAGCTAAGCCATGATGTGACCTCATCCTAGTTCATTGAACAAGCCACAACTGACTGGATTCCCACTTCATGCAACATGCTAAGCCACTGTCAAACTACTTTATGACTTAGAACAATGTGGGAACCCAGCCAACACAGAACACATGTGAGGGAATAGCTAATTTCATTCCGGGAAGTAAGCTATGTTTTAAAATTATGATCTGTTGAATAAACTATGATGTTTTTGTTTAGACGTAATGCTAAACTATAAACTATTGCTTATGAGCCACAGTAGCCACACATCAAGCCCAAAACAACCATATGATGGCTTATTTACATTTGAACTCAGAGGCTATATTTGCTTAACACCCTCAGTCTGGTTACAGAATTAACTCATTTTCTAGGTTCACACTATACACTAAAACATAAACTCAGCTGGGCTCACCAGTATGTTAAGACACCCACAGGAAAAACCTAACCAAGATAACACCAACCAAGCCTACCCCTTGTATGACTGCCTTTACTAAATCTTTAGCTGACCTAGGTCAACGTTTGGGGGAATGTAGCAAAGAGAACCTTTCGGACACATACTTATACATAGTCTCTCAGTTCATTCATTGTTAGTCTGAAACAAATGTTGGCCTCGGGAAACTGTAGCCTAGATGTAACCCTTCCGTGGTGACCATCCACAGCTGAAGAGCACCCTCAACACCCTCTCCACCAGATGACAGAACACAGGAGCTCCATCTGCAGACCCATTTGGGCATCAGATGCCTTTGCCCCAAAGGTACCTTGAGAACGTGGGGACAGTGGCCTCACACATGGGTGGTTCAGTATTTGGAATACTCCGAATGGATTCATCCTTTCCACTTGAGGAAGTCAAACAATTTACTCCTGGAATTGCCACACTCTCCAATATTGCCACCCCCCTGTAGAATGATAAATTAATGTATGCAACCTGCCCCCATTAATAAAGGGAACGAATTCCCTGGGGTTACAGTTGAGCAACTGGTACATATGCTACTTACCGAAATATATGCAACTTTCACCATGCTTTCTGGACTTAGTGTTCCTTTCATCAGCATTACTGGTGGGTAGGTCATCTTCTGAGAACCAGTTTGGTGTAGAGGTTAAGGCATCAGGCTAGAAACTGGGAGACGGTGAGTTCTAGTCCCACCTTAGGTACAAAACCAGCTGGGGGACCTTGAGCCAGTCACTGCCTCTCGGCCCTAGGAAGGAGGCAATGGCAAACCACTTCTGAGATCTTGCCAAGAAAACTGCAGGGACTTGTCCAGGCAGTCACCAGGAGTCGACACTGACTCAAAGGTGCACACACACACACATACACACACAAAAGTCATATTTCCTTTTCTCTTACCAGCTCCCAAACATTTTCCATTCAGAAAGCTAGGGATTTGAAATAGCAGATTAAAATACTGAACTTCATGGACATGTCCACAGACAATCCACAAACTATGGACCTGTTGCAGCCTGCCACCACTCAACAGCTGGTAGGGAAAAACCTACCTAACGCATTGCTGCTATGATGGGTGGACAATTTCGAAAAATCCATGATTTAGCCATCTTTCAAAACTGGGGGCTTGCAGAGGCAAAGCCAGACCGAATTTTGGTGGCACTCCCCCTTGGCCAAGGCAAGCGTGGTCAGTGACCTCTTCAAAGATGCTTGTGACCCTGGAGGAGGGAGATCGTGACCTACAGTTTGAGAACCCCCCATTAACTCTCTTTCCTCAGGCCATCGATTCAATGAATGACCTGCCGTGGAGAAAAAACAAAGGAAACAGTAAAGTAGTGAGGCTGGTTAATTCCAAACTAGAGGTTGCATTCTCACAGTTTGGTTAAGATTAAGGTTTGGTTAGGTTGG